AGATTCCTTCAAGAACCCTGTCCCTTCCCTGAAGCTCTGCCCGGCATGGCCAATGGTGAACGGTTGTGGTGGTGAACAGTTCAAAATAGAGGTTTCCTGCTGGTAATTGCCCTCCATTTCCTAATTAAATCAGAACACCAACGATCAATTGGCTCTTGAGAACCCAGAGATTCAAAGTGTCCTTGAGAAAAGTACCAGACCATGCCCAGCTAGAGGCTGGAACCTCTTTCTTTTCTTAAACAGACAGACTTATTTTGTTCACTTGTAAGTAACCTCTTCCAGCACCACCCCACACTTCTGTGGCTTTTTCTTTCTAAACCTGTAATTGTCTCTGATTCTTTGAACTGAATGAGTCTTTCACTCCTTACATTTTTTCCCTGAGTTTGAATGTGATTGTTTACTGCTGAACACAGCTACATCCCCAGTTGTAAGAGGGTGTGCACACAGATGCAACCATATTATTTCAGTTTTTTTTTTACCCTTCATCTTAAAGATTTCAGTTTGTTGTTCAACTGAGTTGTACAGTTCATAGGTCTCATTAAAGGTGGAAAAAGTTTTGAAATGATTTATCTTTGTCTCGTTTTTTTTTACATCACAGACACTTGACATTTTAATGGGTGTGTAAACTTTTTATATCCACTGTACATGCACTCTTTGCCTATACCCTATCTGTGCATACATGTTGCCCTTAAGGTCACCTTATGATTCCTCTTATGTGTTTTATGCCTACAGGCTAACTGCTGTGCTTTAAGAGAGCAAATATGTATGTGCAGAAATCTTAGAAGCTACTTATGTTTTTAAAACCAGACGTTTCTTCCAATAAACATACCACATGTTCAACATAAGTTGCTTCTTGTTTTTCATCCTTCCCCTTCATTTGATTTGTATTACAAGGAGGATAGATAAAGCTTTCAGTATAACAAATCATAATTAGTAAATTGCAAACTGTGCTGAACAGAATTGATTTTATGTTTTGGAAATGAAAATGTGCCACTTGCTTGCTGAACATTATTGGTATGGAATAATATGGTTATCATTAAATCCCACCCCTCCCACCCCATCCAGAATAGCAAAAGGAAAAGAAGTAAATCTAAACAACAACATTATATCAGAGAAATGAAGGATAAAGAGGATGGATCAGAAAAGGTTACTCTGGAATCCCAAGAGTTCTGTGGTTGCCATCTGAAGGATTGTGATAAGGACGTTTTTTCCAGCGTACTATCTGGGGGAAAATCAGAAGTAATTCCTCAAGAAGAAGAGAACTTGGAATGCAAGGATGTGGCAGAGACAAAAAGAGATGTATCAGGTCAGTGGCTGTGCTAAAGACGCATATTTTTCAGTGGGCTTTGCACCTGGAAATTTTTTTAAAAAAACCTCCTTTAAGACAGTGAATTATTAGACTCATCCATTTTATTTCTTTCTCCTATCTCCTCCTGATCCAGATCTCCCACTTAAATGGACCTGTTTTATTTGTGTCTCATTAAGAGCTTCAGGCACGCAGAAGGAGGACCTGAATCTAGTCAGCCTAATGTTATGGAATGTTTGGTTGTGAGACCATATTTTTCTCCCAAATGGCGGATCTCTCATTGCATCTCGTGCTCTTTCTGCTGGAATCCCTTATGTCTCTCTTGTCCCTTTGGTCACCTTCCCACCTGCCCTGAGTGCAAATTAACCTCTTAAATAAGTTTACAGGATGCCACATTCTTTGCCAAAATTATACCGCAGTTTTAAATGTATCAGGTTCCCCAGAAAACCGCAAACCGCTCCTGTTCTTGTTTCTTGGGGAGGGAGATGTGTTTTGTTCAATTTAATCTTTTAAACTGTATTATTATTTTATAGAACCATATCAGATGCTATGTTGTTGTTTGTTGTTGTTGTTGTTGCTATGACAATGATGATAACAGTTGTAAGCTCCATTATTTGCACATGTTTCCAATTACTACTCAGGCTTCAGACAAGGGTGATAATTTCCTCAAGTGATGGACTGTTTCCAAGAGTGGTGTTGAAATCTCTTTTTTCATGACCACAGACATGTTTCTGAAAATTGTCTTTGAGAACTAATGCCATATAAATACTAGTTCTGAAAAAAAATTCCTTGATGCTTAAGGAAGACTTTGAAAGTGTTGCCAGTCTCTGGCTGACTAACATTATCCTAGCCAAACATAACGTAACTTCTGCAGAAGTATCAGTCCCAGAAGTGCAAATATATAAAGACTTGAGTAGAACAAATATTGCTGTACCTTGTTAGAAGTCATCTATTCTGCATAACAAACAGAAAAGATGCTGAAGATAATTTTTACATATATTCCACCTAGATTTCTGGACTGGATTCCTTGAAAAACTCTGGATCAGGCTGAAGGCTTAAGTCAGTTTCTTGAGTCCAAAGATGCCACAGATCATGCTACTGCTCTTTAGATCAACCCAGCTTAAGACCGCTGTTGTTTATTTGTTCATTCTCGTAATAGAGTTTTATCTTACATTTTGCCACTGTAGTCAGAGTGAAAATCTGTGTTTAGCTGCATTCAGGGTAATAATGCAATAACCCTGTTATTAATGTACTGTTATTATAAAACCGCAAACATAAAAGCAACCTGAAACCTCATAACAACATCGGAGCAAGCCAATGAAAACACTTCAGAACAGAATCAAAATAGTCCAGTTAAATGTTCCCAAAGCATATCATTATATGCTAAACATGATCTCCTTCCTGATGTGGTTTGAAGGACACAATCCACAAACAAGGGAGAGATATCAGGCGGCTCGGAGGAATGTCTGCAACAGTAAAAGAGAAAGCTTCAGCAAAAATAGCTAACTTTTCTCATCCCTCTGAACAGCCCAGTGGGGACTGAGCATAGAATCATAGAAATCATAGAAAAGTGAAGTTGGAAGGGGCTTACAGGGCCATGAAGTCCAACCCCCTGCTCAATGCAGGAATACAGTCAATATCTGCCAGGTGATTATCTAAATTTTTCTTGAATGCCTCCAATGTTGGAGCAATCACCAACTCCCGAGGTAACTGGTTCCACTGTCATACTGCTCTAAGAGATAGGAGGTTTCTCCGGTAACTGGTTCCACTGTCGTGCTGCTCTAAGAGATAGGAAGTGTCTCCGGATATTCAATTGATATGTGGCTTCCTTTAACTTGAGCCCGTTGTTGCGTGTCCTGCATTCTGGGATGATCAAGAACAGATCTTGCCCCTCCTCTGTATGACAGCCTTTCAAATATTTGAAAAGTGCTCTCATATCACCCCTCAGCCTTCTTTTCTCAAGCCTAAACACACCCAATTCTTTCATCCTTTCCTCATAAGGCTTGGTTTCCAGCCGCCTAATCATCCTTGTCGCTCTCCTCTGAACTTTTCCCAATTTGTTAGCATCCTTCTTGGTATCCAGAATTGGACACAATACTCAAGGTGAGGCCTCACCTGTGCTGAATAGAGGGGGACTAGCACCTCGCGGGATTTGGAAACTATTCTTCTATTAGTGCAGTCTAAAATGGCATTTGCCTTTTTTGTAGCCACATCACACTGTTGGCTCATATTGAGCTTGTGATCTACGACAATTCCAAGATCCTTCTCCCTCGTAGATTTGCTGAGCCAGATCTCCCCCATCTTGTGACTGTAATGCTCTGAAGGCATAGAATACTGATTGTTCGAGTGAAGGTGCTCAGACAGAGAAGGGAGAAGTGGGATGGGTTCCCCATGGCCTCTGTGAATGCACACAAATGGGTTTTACTGCACCTGTACAGGACTCCTCAGAATATTCTAGAGCTTAAAAAGACATGATTAGTAGGATGTTGCCCCATGGTGTTCTGTTTCGACCGGGTGGGTGACTGTTATCCATCTGTCAAATTCCGAGGCATCGGTTTCCCAGGAAGAGGACAGCAAAGCAGCGTCACATCTCTCCATCCCCACAGTATCGGGAGGTAATCTTTGTTCTGCGTCCATCTCAATGCCATGCCTTCCCTGAATATGGAGATCCCCTTTATGACATTGATCGACATGGTGATCGCCACCGATATTAATTTGACAAATATGACCCAAGATTTGTTCAGGACTACTATGAACGCCCCAAGCGTGTTCGATATGCTTATGCCCCATCTGAATCGTCGCCGTCGCCACCTCCTGTTTGGAGTCGACATTGAGCTTTTTACGAGCCCAGTCCAATGGTACCGGTGTCTAAGAAGTCTGCTAAACATCACTTGTCTATCTCTGAAGTACAGCGTCACGACCCAGCTCCATCTTGACACAATCCCTCTCGACACGAGCCAGTTCCATCTAAATGCCCACACTCTTCTATGGTACTGTCGGCTATGACGTCGCACCAGTCTGTCTCTTTATCTGGATCACGCTCCGACCAGCAGGTCCGAGCACCAACCCCTCTTGTTTCTGTTTCTCAGGGTCATCAATGCTCTCCTTCTCCAACTCTCTCCATCTCTGGATACAGTGGACCCTCGACTTACAGACGGCTCGACTTACAGACTTTTCGAGTTACAGACTTCTCTGGCTGCAAAATTTAGATTCGACTTGCAGCCAAAGAATTGACTTACAGACCCGAAAAAAACCAAAATGGAATAAAAATAGAATAAAAACCACTGGTTATGGGATTAATCGGTTTTCAGTGCATTGTAGGTCAATGGAGATTTGACATACAGACTTTTCGACTTGCAGCCACCATTCCAATACGGATTAATTCCTTAAGTAGAGGGTCCACTGTATTCTTCTGTGTCGACGGTTTCTGAATGCGGTCCTCCCTTTGAGATGTCCAGGGAGTCTCCCTCAAATCTACTAACTCCAGATTCTGATGTTACAGATGTTCATCCTCCATCTCCATCTGAAGACTTTACTTCTTACGCACAGCTCATTCTTCGCATGGCCAAATCATTGGAGCTGGATATTGAACAACCATATCCTCCCAAACATGACCTTGTCTTTGAAGACATTAATAAAGATAAATCCCCCCATTGAGTTTGGCATTCATCCCAGCCATGCTGGACCTTGTTAAGAAATCTTGGGACAAACCATCTACGGCCATGCTGGACCTTGTTAAGAAATCTTGGAACAAACCATCTATGTCCTTACAGATCTCGAGACGTGTGGAGAATCACTACCACACTCACGGCAAGGATACAGTGTTACTCGTCAAACATCCTCCACCAAATTCCATCGTTGTACAATCAAATCTGTCCCGAGCAGGTAATCGGTCCTCAGTCACTCCTATTAACAAGGAAGGAAGGAAGCTGGGCGTACTAGGTCGTTGTCTACATTCTCTAGCTTCTTTCGTTATGAGAGTGTCAAACTATCAAGCTGCAATGGGGGCCTATCACATGCAGCTTTGGAACAAAATCCTCCTGGTCCTTCAGACTGCTCCTGAAGAGGTTAGAACCAGTGCTCTCAATACCCACCTTGAGGCCAGTACCTTGGCTAAACAGCAGTGTTTGGCATCTTGCCATACGGCTGACTCTGCTTCAAAATATTTGGCTTCTGCCATTGCCTTTAGTCTACATGAATGCTGCAGTCTGCAGGGATCACTGACGATGCTCAGTCCCGTATTGAAAATTTGTCAGTTGATTATGTGGGCCTTTTCAACGATAAGACTGATGAGGTGATGGAAAACCTGCACAAGATTCACAAGACTGCCCACACTTACTCCATTCAACAGCCCAGATACCAACGCAACCAGTGGTGTAAGCCTTTCACTTTCCATCAGTCATAGCAGCACCCCTACTGCCCTTACAGGAGCTCAGGCTCCTCAGAGATCCAGCTTTTCTCAGCCTTCCTCTTCTGCTCCTCCTTTCTGGTCCCAGTCCCCTGCTCAATGCAGAAAAGGTCTTTGTCGCCCTACAAGAAAAAATAAACAGTATCTTTGACTCTCCTCTCTTGGACTATCCCCATCATCCCCAGTTGGCTCCCTTTTCCGACAAGTGGTCCACCATCACCAAGGACACTTGGGTGCTCGCCATCATATGTTTTGGTTACCTATTGGAATTCAAGGAGCTTCCTCCTCTCGGTCATGTCAGACCCACAACTTACTCACCTGCTCTAGAGGACGAAGTTATTCTCCTTCTTCACAGACACGCTATCCAGAGGGTTCCTCCCCAAGATATTCCAGATGGTTTTTACTCATGTTATTTCATGGTTCCCAAAAGGGATGGAGGCCTCCGTCCCATCTTAGACCTGCGACTATTGAACACCTACATTCATCCGAGGCGTTTTCACATGGTCACCCTTGAATCAGTCATCCCTCTGCTTCAGCCAGGCGACTGGTTCATGGTTATAGATCTCCAGGATGCATATTTACATATTTCAAT